ATACTGTAAGACTCTTCAAATAAAACATAGGAGAAAATATTCAAAAACTTAAAATAGGTAGAGTTCTTAGATACAACAAAAGCACAATTCATAAGATTTTAAAACCTGATTAACCGTACTTAATGAAAATTTTAAACTTTGGTTTCATCAAAGACGCTACTAACAAAATAAAATGAAAAGTCAGTCTGGGAGAAAATATTTACAATTCAGGTATTCAACAAAGGAAGTGTATCCAAATATATAAAGAATTATTGGCTTTTCCCACGGATCTTTGCAACCCGTGGATCAGGAGACCCCCTCGTGAGCTCACACCACCAATGCCTTGGGTCCAAAGTACACAGCTGAGCAGACTCTCCGTGGCCACTCAGGCTTGCACAGAGACACAGGAGATTTTTGCATACTGCTACCCCGGGAATTCCAGTGAGACGGGAGATCCTCCGTGTATTCCCCTAGGAAGGGGGCTGAATCCAGGGAGCCAAGTGGTGTCCTTCCTTGGACTCCACTCCCACGGCACCTCACAAGTTAAGAACCACTGGCTTGGAATTTCAGCCGGCCAGCAGCAGCAGGCTGGAGACTGCCTGAGACAACCGAGTTTGCGTGGGGATGGGTGGCTGCCATCTCTAGAGCTCAAGTTGACTGTTTTGGCCTGCCATCGAGCCTGGGGCAGCCAGACCAGGAGGAATATCTCATAGCGCAGCACAGCTGCTATGGCAGATCGTGGCCAGACTGCTTCTTTAAGTGGGACCCCCATCCATCCCTTCTCACTAGTTAGCACCTCCCTGCAGGAATTTCAACAACTCCAGCATGGATTTTGTGGACAGAACTCTGATCTTTCCCAGGGATGAAGCCCCAGTGGGGGTTGGGGAGACCTTATCTGCAGACCTTCCTGAACAAGGAAGAAACTGAATCCCTGAATAGACCAATAACAGGTTCTGAAATTGAGGCATAATAAATAGCCTACCAACCAAAACAAAAAAAAAAAAGCCCAGGACCAGACAGATTTACAGCTGAATTCTACTAGAGGTACAAAGAGGAGCTGGTACCATTTCTACTGAAACTATTCCAAACAGTTGAAAAGGAGGGCTCCTCCCTAACTCATTTTATGAGGCCAGCACCAACCTGATACTAAAACTGGGCAGAGATACAACATTAAAAAGAAAACTTCAGGCCAGTATCCCTGATGAACATTGACATAAAAATCTTCAATAAAATACTGGCAAACCAAATCCAGCAGCACATCGGAAAGCTTATCCACCACAATCAAGTTGGCTTCATCCCTGGGATGCAAGGTTGGTTCAACATATGCAAATCAATAAATATAATCCATCACATAAACAACTAAAGACAAAAACTACATGATTATCTGAATAGAAACAAAGAAGGCCTTTGATATCCCTTCATGTTAAAAACTCTCCATAAACTTTGTATTGAGGGAACATACATCAAAATAATAAGAGCCACATATAACAAACCACAACCAATATATTGAATGGGCAAAAGCTGAAAGCATTCCCCTTGAAAACTGGCACAAGACAAGGATGCCCTCTCTCACCACTCCTATTCAACATAGCATTGGAAATTCTAGCCAGAGCAATTGAGCAAGAGAAAGAAATAAAGGGTATTCAAATAGGAAGAGAGGAAGTCAAATTATCTTTGTTTGCAGATGACATGATCCTATATTTAGAAAACCCCATGTCTCAGCCAAAAAGTTGCTTAAGCTGTTAAGCAACTTCAGCAAAGTCTCAGGATACAAAATCAATGTGCAAAAATCACTAGCATTCCTACACACCAACAACAGATATGCAGAGAAGCAAATCATTAATAAACTCCCATTGACAATTGCTACAAATAAAATACCTAAGAATACAGTTAAGAAGGGAAGTGAAGGACCTCTTCAAAAAGAACTACAAATGACTGCTCAATAAAATAAGAGAGGATACAAATGGTAAAACATTCCCTGCCCATGGATAGGAAGAATCATTATCATGAAAATGGCCATAATGCCCAAAGTAATTTATAGATTCAATGTTATTCTCATTAAACTTCCATTGACATTCTTCACAGAATCAGAAAAAAACATGTTAAAACTCATATGGCACCAAAAGAGAGCTGGTATAGCCAAGACGAATCTCAGCAAAAAGAACGAAGCTGGAGGCATCATGCTACCCGACTTCAAACTCTACTACAAGGCTACAGTAACCAAAACAGCACAGTCCTGGTACAAACAAAAACAGATATATAGACCAATGGACCAGAATAGAGACCTCAGAAATAAGACTACACACCTACAACCATCTGATCTTTGACAAATCTGACAAAATCAAGCAATGGGGAAAGGATACCCTATTTAATAACTGGTGCTAGAAGAACTGACTAGCCATATGCAGAAAATTGAAACTGGACCCCTTCCTTATACCACATACAAAAATGAACTCAAGGTGGATTACATACTTAAATGTAAAACCCAAAACAATAAAAACCCTAGAAGAAAATCTAGGCAATACCATTCAGGACATAGGCATGGGCAAAAATTTTATGATGAAAACACCAAAAGCAACTGCAACAAAAGCAAAAATTGACAAATGGGATATAATTAAACTAAAGAGCTTCTGCACAGCAAAAGAAACTATCATCAGAATGAACAGACAATCTACAGAATAGGAGAAATTTTTTGCCATCTAGTCATCTGACAAAGGTCTAATATCCAGAGTCTACAAGGAACTTGAACACATTTACAATTAAAAAAAAAAACCATTAAAAAGTGGGCAGAGGACATGAACAGACACTTCTCAAAAGAAGACATACATGCAACCAACAAACATATGAAGAAAAGCTCAACATCACTGATCATTAGAGAAACACAAACCAAAATGACAATGAGATACCATCTCACGCCGGTCAGAATGGTGATTATTAAAAAGTCAAGAAACAACAGATGCTGGTGGGGTTACAAGGAAAAAGAAACACTTTTATGCTATTGGTGGGAATGTGAATTTGCTCAATCGTTTTGCAAGATTGTGTGATAATTCCTCAAAGATCTGGAATATCATTTGACACAGCAATCCCATTTCTGGGTATATACCCAAAGGAAAATAAATCATTCTGTTATAAAGATACATGCATGTGTATGTTCACTGTAGCACTATTTACAATACTGAAGATGTTGAATCAACCTAAATGCCCATCAGTGATAGACTGGTTGAAGAAAATATGGTACATATACACTATGGAATACTATGCAGCCACGAAAGGGAACAAGATCATGTCCTTTGCAGGAACATGTATGGAGCTGGAAGCCATTATCCTCAGCAAACTAACATGGAAACAAACAGACAAAACAAACAAACAAACAAACAAAAACACCACATGTTCTCACCTATAAGTGGGAGCTGGTGATGAGAATACATGAACACATAGAGGGGAACAACACACACTGGGGCCTGTCGCAGGGGTGGCCAGGTGGAAGGAGAGCATCAGGAAGAATAGCTAATTTGATGCTGGGCTTAGTACCTAGGTCATAGGTTGATCTGTTCAGCAAACCACCATGGCACAGATTTACCTATGTAACAAACCTGCACATCCTGCAGTGGTACCCTGGAACTTAAAATAAAAGTTGATTTAAAAAAAAAAAAAAAGAAAGAAACTCTGAAAGAGGTAGTCTTTGAAGCAGACAGTGCTGTGTTCCAAGATCAGTGCTACTGATTATAAGTAGAATGATCTGGGGTAAGTTAGCATA